AAGTGACGAGGAGTAATTTTTTCCTTGCAACAAAAAACTGTGACCTTCTCCCAGTTACGAATAAAACACGTTAGACCCTCTCCAATTTGTAAAAATTTACTAATGACTCTCCCCTCCTAAGCCCCGGCCCACCCACCTGAGAGGTACCTTCCCTAACATGAATATTTCCTTATCTTGATCAAAAAAAAATATTTGTCGGATACACGATGAATCCCACATTTTTGGGGGGCGCCACCTCCTTTTTTGACTTTTTCCTTGAAAAAAAAATCGATTTGTACTTGGGAAGCTTTTAGTTATTTGGACCAAATTAAATTATTCGTATAGGATCGAATTGCTGTATAACTATACAAGCGTACAACACTGAAACGTAACCCGGCTCCTCAACGGTTTATCAGTTCTACCGAAGGAATTAACAACGTAAGTAGCAACAATCTGTTCAATAATTTATTCACTGAGGTAAATTCTATTGAAAAAAACTTCATAATAATTCAATTCAACTCATAATTTTCCTAATTTGATTCAAAAGATGGGCTATGAAATTCATCAATAAAGGGGGTAAGTTTCTAAAGAAACTGTGGCGCTGCGTCGGTGGGAGAGTATAGCAGGTAATTCAGTGTTAACAACTGATTTGAAAACGTAACTTGACCACCGTAAAGAGTAAAAAAGCTGACGTTTCGAGCGTTAGCCCTTCGTGCGACGCTCGAAACGTCAGCTGTTTTACTCTTTCTTTATCAACGTTTCTTTCACATCTTCACGCCAAGAGAGAGTTCTTGAAAGTAAACTCACTGCTAGGAGATAAAATACGTGTATGTTAGAACACTGTATTTTCCACCATAGACAAGCTCACCTGCAGAGCAGCAGACCGCATTTACTCGCAACTATAGTCTCTGACATGACAATTACTTTCAACTTGAATTAGAGAACATTGAGAAAACGTCGAACCATCATTTTCGATATTTCATTCAAAGAGCCAGTTGATCGTAAGAATTGCGTGCAGCCTAAGACACTTAAGTTCTTATATCGCACGTCCAATGACGACAATCGAAAAACCATTTCTTTCATTTTTTTTTTGCGGGCACATAACTTTCAAGTTGTTCGTGAGGAAAATCTAACGGATTTTTCGTGGCGAGATGCTTTTCCCTCTGAAGGCTAAATAAACCATAAATGGTGCATTCATTTGCTACTTGTAATGAAACTCTTTCCGAGACACGTGATTCTTCGTTCACTCTTTCTCGACAAACGTTATAAAAATCGGCCAAAAAAAAGCCATACAATTATACATTTAAAAGCTCCGAGATGATTATATGGTTCTACGAAATAAACAATTACGATTTTCAGAAAACAAAACTGCCAAAAAGTCACCATCGTGACAGTGTAGTGGGAAAAAATAAGTTCGAATTGTTCATTATAATTCGACAACTACGTAAAGGACTTAAGACTCTTGACAACAAAACTCTTTATTCCCTACGGCTTTGTGTTCACGAAAACTGCGAAGCAAATCAATTGTTTACTAAGATACAATATCATTTAACTTTTGTGTGAGCTGCTGATGTCATCAAACGACCAGATTACCACAAAATACTTTTTAAAGAAAGCTGCTTACGCGGATTATAACACTCCACAAAAGTTCACATGCAATGAATGAGAAGATTTTGAGTACAAGGGAAAATTCAACCAAAAGTCACAAGAATTTTTTTTTTAATTCTTACGACCTGTATTGCTTTTAAGAGAGGTGAAATGTCTAAACATAACCTTTTACCTTATTTGAAATGCTTAAATTTTTTACCATTACCTAATCACACATTTACTCCGTTTTTTTCCTCTATTATTGCAAAGTGCGTTTCTATGATTTGCATTGTTTGTAATAGATTTTTATTTTATATAATAGATTCTGCCAAGACTTGTATTGGCAACCCCCCTGCCAGGAAAAAATTGTCACTGCCTCATTGAGAGAAGGATAAAAAAGATTGTTGTTGCTGTTGTTGTTGTTGTGGTTGTTGTCCTTCATCAAGCTTGGGCTGCCTGTCGATGTACCAAAATTCAGGATGGAAATCAAACACTTTCGGAGAATTCTTCGAAGGCAGACGCCCATTACGAATCACTGAATTTAATTGGAATCTAACAAACGACTTAAAGAGGTACACGTTATAATTACTGTATACTTCACACCAGTTTTTAGTCCTGTTGAGTAACACAGAGATCATTGCTCGTTGCAATTGCGTGACCAGACTAAACAGCAGCAGCAAATAAGACTCCACTTCAAGGTTTACGACAAAAACTGTAAAAGGCCGAAGCAACCTAGTCCGTTTGACATGGAGAAAAGAGTCCTCAAAATCTTTAAGTCATTATCAATATAAATAAGCATTAAAAAATTGATAAATTGATATTAACGAATAATCAAGCCTATGAAAAGCAAAAACAAAGTCTGTTAAAATCTACAAAAACCGTGGATAACGTTGGAGGCGTGCTCTGATTGGCTACTCAAACTCCAAACATCCTTTGTTATTCACCTCCGAGCAACTCGCGCAAGATTTGCGCCCGCAAACATTGTAATTATTGCGGGAATAATGAGATAAAATCATTTTTCTGTGCTATATCACCTCTCTGTTTTAGTATATACTTTAAACTCAGAGGTAGCTAGCGGTGGCTATTTACCGCGCCACTTCACGCCTCGGTTAATAAGGAGTCTTAGAAATCCGCGACAGCAATGGCAGCGTAAACGTCACTTAAGGTTTAATGAGAAGAACAATGGCTTTGTACGTGCGTTATAAATCTTTGTAAATTCCTTTGCGTTCGCTGCAAAACGGCAACGTGAAATGACCAAACTTTACGTTGTCTAGAGAACGTGAACAACGACGGTTAATTTTGTAAAATTCTAGTTATAATTTAATGCTGTGTTCCATACTCAGTTTCGTTTTGACAGTAAGCAACAAACTAGATCACTCTAGAGTACCGCAAGATTCACAGGGGAAATATAAGTTAATTTTTTAATTGCCGTTTTCCACGGCGTCACCGTCGTCGTAACGTCCCTGATGTCCACCACGTGCCATCTCTTCGGTAATTAGTAGGTTTTTTCTTTTCCTAATTTATATTTTAGGAACTGCTTAACCATGTAAAAATTAAATTTAAAAAAAGGCCTCGTTTTATTTTAAGAGGAGGCCTGTGTTTTTCGATTCATTTACAATAAAGAAAGTAAGTAATCTATCTTTGAGTGTTAGTTAAATTATATATTCATTTTTGTTCATTTCTGTTCATAGACGTATTCTATGTACCCTACTCAATGCACTATTGAAAATTATATCTATTGTTATGTACAAAACCAACTGAATTTCAGGTGACGAGATATGAGCACCATAATGAAGTTGTTGCTAGATTAATTATTTTTTTCAGCTCGTTCTGTGGCCATGCTGTGTAAATGAACGTAATAACCATTAAGAAAGAGGTCGTCTTCGAAAAGCTCACAAGAACTTGTTAATATCCTAACAAAGACGATATCATTTGGAGAAGATGGCAAGTTGATATATTGAAATATACATATGAGTTTCATGGTATGAAATTCAGTTTTTCTTTGTAGAATTTTATAAACAATTCTGTCTTGTCGAAGCAAGGAACATCCCTGCGGCACCTCTCAACGCGCAGTTGTTTTCAACTGTTTTGCACCAATTTACAGCTGAATAAAATTAAATTCAACGATAGATTTGTTCCAATATTTAGAACAAGCGTTAGCTCATCTTCTTCGAAATACGAATCTGATTGTTAAAAAATGTGAGTATTTGACCACATGAGCCCTTTCAAAAAGCCTTCCGTCAATCATGATTCCTGAACGCTATGTCATGTTAAAACTGTCAGTGTACCTAGTATTCGCTCTCGCCACAAGGAACAAGTAGAAGGGGCCTTAAAGTGGACACCTCCGCTCAGTAATCGCTTAAATCTTTGTGTTCTCTACCAGGCAGGAATTAGGCTTTGTTTCATTTTTGTTTGCGCTTCTTCCAACGACATGGCCCGTGCACCTGTACAACTGATGCGCTTGTTTCAGACTATTGTTGAAGCGTGTAAATGTACATGGTCTTCCACCATGAAGAGACGGTCTAGGTACCCCACACTAAGCTACTAATCGTGGGGCTGATTCGCACCATTAGTTCAAAAGATTCCTTTAATTCATTTCTCTCTACAAAAAAAAGAAAAAGAACCTCTGTAACCAGCAATTTACTAAGTTCCGCGAATACCATGCACAACTAAAAAGAAAGGCCATGACCATCTGAATAAAACCTTGTCCAAGATCGAGTAATGTTCGAGTTTTCACGTTTTATCCAAAGCAGCTATCAAATACTTTATATTTGTTTCTGTAATTCGACACGTGAACAAGGGATCTTAGCTTACGAATACTTAGACTAACAAGGATTAGAAACTCTTGACAACCAATGTTGTTTTTCCCAACGGGTTTGCGCTCATGGTAACTGCTAAGCGGTAAGTTCTGTTGTGTTTCTGTAGTAAGATTGATTGTCCAAACCACTAAGAGAATCTCGATGTATTGTTTGAGCTAAATTTTTCGCATTCGTTATCGTCTGAAAACAATAAAGCAAAAGGCGAAGAAACGAAAGGGGGTTTCAGAATTAAAACGAAGCCGACATGTGAGAGAATATGGTAATCGTGGACAAAAACGATAAATCAACCAAAAAAATGTCATCAAAGATAGCATCGTCTCAGATCTTTCTTATACTTGTAGTTCAACCAGTGATTATGGGTTTGTTCCACTGTAAACACCTTGATTACTCAAGATAAAAGATTCTTGACAACCAGGTTTGTTATTTTCCCAACGGGTTTGTGTTCATGGCAACTGCAAAGCAGTGGGTCGTGAGGTGTTGTCCTGGAAAGAGACAAAGAACATCGATTGGTGGCCAAAACACAAGACATCATTGACCTTTTGTTTCCACTGTTGACGTATTTCACACATGAAAGACTGATCGCTAGCTCAAAATTTTCCTTTGGATTTATTGAGACGACATCGTTCCAGGCAACAAGAAGTGCCAATTTAAAGCGCGTTTCAAAGTGCGTGCAAGATAAAGGACAAATCCGCTCATGAAAAATGGAGGGATTTTGGAAATATATGGGTAAATACCATTTTGTATAGCCGTTACCTCCCTTTTGATCAATTTACCTCACATTTTCCAGTAACAAAAATCCGACTTGCTTTTAGTGTTGGGAATCGTGACAAGCTTGGCGACTTGCGTCAGTGGAATCCACAATCCCTGTCCCGCAGCGAATGAGGCAAGTTTGAACAAAAAACTGTATCTTTACTGAAAGTACTTTCAATGTTTACTTTTCTAATAAGTCTGCTTCGAAATGGTCCGAGATCTGGTGATGAAATCATCTTCAGCTTAGTCACATTGAGAGTGAAACCTTAGCAGGTGCACTTAAAATTACAGGATGCTGAGAAGAATGATCTCTTAGTCTCATGATAAAACCAAAATCAACCGCCACATTACTTGTACTTCGGTTAGGTGTGAACGATTCATGGTTTTTCTTCGGCATTTGGTGTAACTTAGTCGTCTAACAGTCTACTAGTAACTCGAGATCTGAGAGGAGTAAAATCCTTCAATTTCGACATATTTAAAGTAACGGCAATATACGCTTTTTTTCAATTGCTCCGACGATGGTCGGCACACTCAACAGTTATTTTTTTATTCTCGGCGGAGTCGGTCTATCTGCCTTTACTGATTTATAGCGGATATCAACCTGCTAGATTTACTTGCCCGCTAAGCAGCCACATATATCTCTCAAAAAGGCGATGACCATCTTATTTGCTGCCTGGCCCGGTTAGGTCTGATTTCAGACAAGTACGACTTCAATCTTGAGCAAAACTAATGCGGCGTCTTGCATAATTTTGATTCCTTTTCGGGTTCCATTGTATTTTATTTGCTGCACGCTTCGCGACACAGATCGCGATTATTTGAAGTAAACATTTGTTTGCCAATGTATTTAACAGATGGAAAAACAGTTGAATAAAATGTAGGTAAGTACTAAAAAGAAAAGGAAGATATTTTTCTAGTAAGGAATATGAAGTCAACATTACCACTCGGTGTTCGGAAAACAAGTGCATGCATGTTGATTAAAAATCTCGCCCGTGAATAGTCGTGCAGATTTATCTTCGAAGTTAATGACTTAATAAAACTTAGTCTTTATTTACCGTGGAATCCAGTTTACTAAATTTGCGAATCCTTGAAATATTTAGAAGAACATATTTTCAAAGTAAATTTACGAAACCAGACAGTTTTGGAAAGCGGATAATCATTTCACTTTGGTTTTCGATTCAACGCTTCATGAAAACAGCGTACAAATACAATAATGCTTCAACTTTGCCGTAAGATTAATTTAAGTTTTATTTTGCTACAAAATTATCCACTAGCTGAAGTTATCCTAATTTTGTTCAGTATGAAAACAGTGTTTGGATTCCGTAAAAATAACATTGAAATTAGTTGCTGTCTCGGCAACGCAGCTGCAGGGACGGCTTAGTTAAAAATTAAAATCGATTGCTTTCGTCATTATTTCTCACTAGGTCTTATATCAAGCTGTCCTTACAAAACCAGGAAGAGCTAGATAGTTTATAACTACGAGTTATGATTTAGAAATAGAAACGAGAAAGTTAGAAAAAGTGCCGTTTATGGCAGACGTAGAAGTACAAAATTTCACAAATGCTATTTCGACATCATGCACGTTACAGGTATTAGCCAATCAGAGAGCAGCTTCCTTGACGGGCATCGAAGTGATTGATTGTTTAGTTCGTGATTTCATTTGCTGAACGTGGACTGCTTGTTCTTAGAACCGCCCAGAAACTTATCAGTTAGTAGTAGTAGTTACTCCTACGCATTCAAAGTGATTTCAGGTCTTTGTCACTGCCCGGCTTAGGTCTCCAACGTGTTGTATATGTGTAAAAAAACAATATTTTCGCGTTAGAAATAGGCCGAACCGAAGACGCTAAATTTGCATGTTACAAAACAATGTTTTGCATATTACCATATTACATAGCGCTGCATAATTATTAAGTAACGAAAGGTTTCAGTGGGTTTTTGTCGTCGTTAAGAAGGCGGCGAAGTCAATATTCACTTGAATGTGGTAATTAAACATAACATTTATCGCACACTGAAATATCCGGTGCGCTAGACTATTTTTCACTGATGATTTGGTTTTGTCGCTTAAGTTCATTTTGTGAATTGTTCACCCTAAAAAAATTTTAAATCCGACGTTTTGAGAGTGATTCACTCGACGAAGGACTAGTGTTCGAAACGTCAGTTGATAAAACCTGAAATTATCTTGCGGCATCAATTCTCCACACGGACACAGTGCCACAGTTTCTTCAGGGACTTTATCATTCATTTATTTATCCTTCTTCAATGAGATGATCAGCCCGGCCAACGGTAAGCTGTGCTCTAAAAACTACAAGGAATGAATTACCCGACAGATTTTTTAGCAAAAAACCTTCAAAATTTACACCACACCCGAAGTATTTCAAGCAAAGAGAAAACTGGTCCCAGTTCCGGCAGAAGTATTGGAGATGACATTTACGAAAACAATCGGTTTTTATTTCATTCATCATCTATTCGGTACAATCACGAGCTCACAGTACAACCCACTCACGATGCCATGTAGAAATATATGCCTTATTTGTCTTGGTCTTAATTATCAATCAACAAGAATTCTCCCTTCACTCTGATCCACCATTTAAAAATTTCACCGTTTACAAAATCCACCTTTCACCGCTTGCTGTTTTACAAATCCAAACCAATCCATCATGATAATTTACAGCTTACTCGAGGCCTACTATACACTGTACAATTGTTTGTTTGTGAGTACAGCTCGAAAGTGTAACGGCTTGACTGATTTAAGTTCCTCGCAAGTCAACAACAAAACCAGTATAGAAACTCGTGGTAAAACAACTCGTTGTAAAGACATTACGACGATTAGCATGTGAAAATTAAATTTTATCATATTTTGTATCTGCTAAAAAACATTATTAAAAGGCAATAATCAGGGCGTACTTATCGGAAAGTTCGATAAATAGGGAAAATGTTACTGCATATTTCTTCGTTTCCCGAGCCTCCAAGGAGAAATGGGGGACTCTGGGGACGAGGAGAGCCTGCGGCCCAGGCTCTTAGCGATGAATGTCCCAAATAAAAATGGTGTTATTTTCGTTCAAAGTGTTCCGTGGAAGGAAATGTTATTTGTTTTATCAATTAATCGTAGTATCTATATCTGAAATCCTTGAAGACTTTGATAAGAATGAATGGAATATTTGAAAACTGCCAGAACTTTGAGAGAAAAAAATTGGTTCTTTTGCGAGGCTAATCCTGATACTCTTCATGAAGAAGAATATGTACATGTGTGTATATATATATATATATTTCCTAACTGTCATGTTTTTCCTTTACTTTACAGACTTACTGTGATGCAACAGATTCCTGCCAAGGAGTGAATGAAACATGGTACGTTGGTTGGTTCTTGTAAATCAAGTGACTTATACTTTTTACTTACGTTAGACTAACGATCCAATATCAGTTACGTGTGTAAAGCTCGGGTAGGCATTTGAATATAATAACTGTATGTGAAGTTCTTGTGAAAGTGAATTGTGTTTACCTTTAGTGGTGACTTTTAAACTTAGTTGAAAGCTTCAGACTATCTAATATTCTTAAATACCACATGCCTCTGTAGAATGTATAAAGTTCGTCTTCTCTTGGCTAACTATGCTCATGTTATTACTTGAAGAATACCTCATTCTTTCTCTGTGTAAGGTGAAGAATACCCTCTGTTTCTTTAAAATGAATTGTTATATTGATAAAATCAAGACAAAGTCGCCAAGACTCAAATTGCACACTACAGTTTTGCATGAAGTGTTCTACTTTTGAGGTTGATGTACATGCAGCAAGGATGAAATATTTATTGACAAAGTAAAGATAAATTGCATCAAATCCCTTATGATACCTGGCCAGCTAATTTTTGCCTTTTGGGTATAGGATCATGAAAATAAATTTGTGTGCTCCTTTGTGATATTAATTGGCTTGGCAATGGCACTTAAATATTTGTTTAAGTGTAAATGGGGATGAAGTGTTGGTCAGTGTTTGATTAATTGAAAGAATAACACTTCACCCCTATGAATGATAAGCATCTAATTTCTCGTTACAACATCACCCCTGAATCAAACATTGAGGTCACGAGAATAAAGGAGATAATCACCAATTTAAGAAGCTCCTGATTGTTAAACAAATTCTCCTTGTCAGCACCTTATGAAATCTTTAGAGAATATTATAGAGAATATGCATATTGATATTAGGGTGTAAAGGGTTAAGTTTTTGATTAAGATGGACAGTAGATTCCACAGGAATTGCTAATCCAGTAATTCTGTTTTATTTCAGTTTTGACTGTTGCCGTCATGTGAATAATCACTGTGAAACTGTTGAACTATTTGCAAAGATCTGTGAGCGCTTACCTCGTATCTGCTCTGAATTAGGACATGAATTGCCAAAACGCATTGTTAGTAGTGAAGCTCGTATGTCCAGTCATCATGCACATCCTCCACTTACTCACTCAATCACAGTCACTGTGGGACCAAGTGGTGTGAATATCTCATCTGCTCCAGTGCACATGCATAATGCTACTGCTTCTCACTCTGGAAGTATTCATGCTTCTATGGGAGCTTCTATGAATGGTTCCATAGTAGCTGCTAGTATGAATGTCTCTGAAGTTGTCTCTGCGATTTCCTCTCAAATAGCAAGTCTGAATGCTTCTCAAGGAGAGAGCCTGAGTGCTTCTCAAGTAGCAACTGTAATTTCCTCTATGGTTGCCTCTCAAGCAGCAAGTCTGTCTTCCCCTGAAGCAGCGAGTATATTTTCCTCTCAGATTGCTAGTCTGGTTTCTTCTCAAGGAGTGAGTCTGGCTAGCTCTCAAGCAGTGAGTATAATTTCCTCTGAAAACGCAGGCGCAAGTCTCAATGCCTCCCATGCCACCATGTCATGGTCTGCGGTACAGACTTCAGCTTTTGGCACCATGGTTGCCTCAATCAATCCAAGTTCACTCAGCCATTTTCCCTCAAGCAGTCCTGCAGTAGTTGGTCCACCATGGTGGTCAAGCTATAACCTAAGTGAATCCATGGAGAGTTGGCTCAGTTTTATTAAGAACAACAGCATGTGTGGCCATGGTAAGAAATTCTGTGGATTAAATCTTCAATGTATTCCTGAAGATCAGCCATGCACTGTTTATCTCTCTAATGATGCAGTGAAAAACTTGAGTAACACAGCTTGGTGTGTTAATTGTTCATCAGAAGAATATTTCTGTCCATTGTTCATGCAGTGTATCAATGTTAATGAAAGCTGTTCTTATGAGAATGTGGATAAATGGATCAATTCTAATGCCAGTACGGGGCTAACTGATTTGGCTTGTGGGGAGAACAAGACATTCTCTTTTGCAACTATGGAGTGTGTTCCGGTGAATTATCACCATCATGGACATGAATGTGGACATGGTGAAGTGTTCTGTCCTTATAGTGCATCCTGCAAGAATAAAACCGACTGTGCTCCTTTCCGAGAACTGAATTACACTGAAGCTCTCAAGAATGATTCTTTTGGTAAGGATGATAATATATTTTGAACCCCATTGGTTGTCAGGTTTTAAACTCCAATTTAATTCAGGAATGAGAAAAATCATTAGGCAACCATTCATCAACAAATTTAGAAAAGAACTGGGAAATACATAGATTATAACTGGGGAAACAAAAACGGAGCCTCAAAATTTAATTATCTTTTGATGGAAGTGATTACCTCTTTACTTTCTCATTCATTGTACTTTTCAACTTTTATCAAGGTAGCTTTTTCATGAAACCAGTAACTCTTGAGAATTTACCTTTTATCCTTGACAACCTAACATCAGTATCCATATTCTTGATACTCTTCTCCATACAATTCCTTGGGTGCTGACAGGGAGAATTTGATGAGCAATCAAAGTTTCTTAAGTTGATGATCATTTCCTAAATATTTGCATGATCCTTTCAAAAAATGATCCAGCAGTATTAATATGAGGAGAAATTACAAATGCTGGTCATTCTAAGGGTTTAAAGGGTTGGTGAGAGAGGCAAGTCAGTTTTCATGCTCATGTGTTGGTCAACACTACTGTCTCTGTAAAGGAAGTAATGTTGATGGTCAAAGAATGCAAAAGATAGGGCAGAATAAGTTTCTGTTCCTAGTACATTGAAGAAAAAAAAGCATAATAGGGACCAGTTTACACATGCAAACTTCTATGGAGCTGACATTTCATTTCCATTTACGTGAGCAAGAACCTGTCTAGATTTGCTAGACGTCATGGAAAATGCACTAAATATTTAGGGAACTGTTTTGAAAATATTGAAGTATACAGAATTGTCTGATACCTTCTTTTCCTCTTTAGGCTGGGTTCGAATGTGCCAAATCAGAAATCTGGTTTGTCCAAGGGTTGCTGTTGCTTTGGAGGATTGTGACCATGACAAGAAAAAATGCAATTCGTAAGTAATGACAAATGTATCAGAGAAAGATGTTTTTGACATCTCGTCACGAGCATGGGACAAAGAAAAAATTGGGTCTCCATGTATCAGTAAATCAGTCTTATGAGATGGATTTTTAATGCAGTTAAATACAATTTACAGAGTGACAACAACAAAAAGCATCAGTGTTCTCCAGTAGTCAGTGGTTTAGTGAGGACACTGATCTGAATTGAGCTAAAATAAACTATTTAGTGAGTAATTATCAATTCAATAAGGCAAATCATGTGTATATAATAGTGCAAGATATTTCAAAGAGTACTAAACATTGAAAAGAAACAAAAACTGATACAGCGTATTAAAATCATGACCAGAACATCCTACAACTAAATAAGTGGAGATGAATTTGAAAGTGATGACACAGTGGTCAAATGGACAGAGGGATAACTTCTGTCTGCCTGGGTGAAAATTTCCTTGAAAAAAATTTGCTCAAATTTGAGAATTGAAACTTTTGTAAAAATTTGTTAAAGAAAACAAAAGTAAGGGAAAGGAAAACTCAAGACTTTTTGAGCTTATTCAAGTACAGTTATTCTCAGTTATTCTATTGATTTACTATTCTGCTGTGAGCTTTACCAAGACAGTTGTACACTTTGAAAACACTGTGACTTACTGGCTTGTGTGGTTGTTTGTAACTTGAGTGAATCAACTTGGTTTTGACAGCTTGAAAGTACTCCACCTGGTCATTACAATGTTTGCGCAAACCACAGACATTTGATTGCTGTATTCATAGAGAAAAATGATTTTCATTCCTTTGACTGGAAAAGTTTAATAGGTAGATAAATGTTTTATGTGCATTAATGGATCAAATGCAAGTATGCAACTGCAAGGAGATTTGAACACTGGTATTACCTCAGTTATCTCACCTTGGTTATGTGTTCGATTATTTTCTTCAGGAGCTGTCCTGAGGGAAAGAAGGTCTGCAATGATCACCACTGCATCCCTGAAGATCAGAAATGCTGCCCTGTGGGTGAAATATTTTGTAATCAAAGTGACTCATGCTTGCCAAATGGAACTATGTGTTGTCCAATAGGTAAAGTCTGTTTTGAAGTTATTACTTTGATTTCCAAAGGCTTTACAGGCCCAATTCCCCCTTACCAACCTATGAGATATCTTGTTGGGTTCAATCAGTTGTGTCCTAATGGATTACATATTCACATTACTTCAGTCTTTTCTCACATGGATGTGTTTAAATATGAAAATTATGTTGAACCTGGTAAAGATTTAAGCAATATTGATGATCCATTTAAACATTTTGCTTCAAAAATTACATCTATCAGGCCTTGAAAACTGAAAATAAATTTGTGGTTAGTCAACAGATTGGCCAAGTAGCTCAGCATTTAACCTGTTGCACTTCCAAGATTTACAGTGTAAATCAATTCTTGCCACTGTCTGCCATACCTTCCTCACTGTTTTCCAAGAATTTGACCTTATACCAAACAATACTTTATGGTTGATATTTTTCTCTTTTCCCATTTTCTGCTAGAAAATGCAGATATTGTAAGGAGAGATTTGGTGTTGGTCACTCTTAGGAACCAAAGGGTAAAGGAGACTGGTACACCCTGTTAGCCATGGGACTACAACATCTTCTAGTAGCTTAAAATAACACTGAATTTATTTTCTATTTTAACAGGCCAACGATATTGCCAGTACACTCAGGACTGTGCTGAACCATCAAATTGTCTACCTCCAATTGCCAATCTTACCTTTCCAACAGTGTGGGAATATCTTCAGCTTGGTGCTGATTTGAGCAAAGGAATTTTTGAACAAAGTGACAATGCTGTAGCACTTCGCAGTCTAAAGACACATGGAGTAAATGGATCCTTGGAGTTTTATAGCAATAGCCAATGGACTGCTGTCAGAGCCCTCACCCCATCGAATGCTCTGGTGTTGGGTAAAACAAGTTACCTGAGGTAATAATAAGAGATTAATCAATCTCTTGAACATTTATCTATTAATTTTTTACCAATTAAGTCTTGATGTGCACAGTTTAATTTGGGAAGATATAGTGGCAAGAAACTTTGAGAGTTAAATGGAAAATTGAGTAATCGAAAAATTCCCTTGTCTGAGAATTCCTTTGCAAATGACTTTTATGATGATTCCTGCTCAGGTGGTAAAAACATCAGTCACTCCTAAAACAATTTACAATTGAATGTCAAAAGTGAAGCAGGATTGCTTTGTTTTTGCTTTACATTGACCTGTGACTGGTCCAGAAAACATGTACCTCCCTTTCAACCAATCAAATGCAAAACTAAAACCAAACAGAACTTACCCTCACTTGGCTCATAAAAGTATTTTCCTTTCTTCTGACTGGGCGTTGAGATAACTCTGGTTTTGGTTATATGATACTCGAGTGAAAAGTGCCATGTGGATAACAGTTCTTTGAAGGACAACTTGGACGATTAGATATACCACTGAATCTCTAGTTTGGATATTGTTGAATTGAGAAGGCTATGCATGGGAAAGAGAAGAATCTAGACTAAGAAAGATAGCCAGACATTCCTTAAAATGAGTTTTTTGTCAATGCCGAGGAATCCACATTCACTCATTGGTTCATATGTGTTCCTTTTGTTAGATTTGTCCCAACAAAAAAAGGATCTCATGGAATCGTGCTGGTCAACTTTACTGCTTACAGTGATTCTTCCAAAGTTGGTCAATATATGGATGCATCATCTAAGCAATGGACACAGGGAAAGACTATTGCCATTTTTGTATTACCATCTGTAGTGCCCCCACAAATGGTGTATAATGGCTCCCATTATACTGTAGATGAGGATAGCAAGGGTGAAAAGGGTTTTAATGTAAGTAAAAAACTTTAAAACCACATGTTGACAAAAAGAGAGAGGGAAACTAAATGAAATTATGTTAAGTTAAATTAAGTAAATTAATAACAAGAATTTCATGTAAGATCAAGAGAACCACTTCCCCCTGATAAGTATGAGTATTCTCATTACCTGTCTGCTGGATAATGTCTGAATATTATATGGAGAAATTACATGTTAATCACATCTGGGAGTTAAAGGGTAAATAATGGTGAATTATTCATTAAGATCAGTGGAATAACAGAAGCTTTGAAGTGTTAACCAATTCTCCTTGTCAGTGGCAAAGGAAACATATTAAAGAATATAGAGAATATGTATACTTATGTTAGGGTGGAAAGTGATTAGGGCATGGTCCTGTTAGAGTAGGACTGAAACAATGGAAAGAATTTCAGCAAGACTCAAGTCACCTTGTTCTTGTTTATCATTTGGAGATGTAATAATTTCATAAATTGATATTTCCTTCTGTGTTAATTCATTCATTTCTTATTTGGGAATAGATATGGGATCACCTGTATGACAGCTCTCCAAAAGGTGATACTGAAAGTAACATTCCTGATGCCTTACTTGGAGATGTGAACCGCAAAATGGTTGAGCTTTACAATGAGTTACTGGAGGATGTTTCATCTTTGGAATTTGGGCTAAAAATTAAAACCACATCAGGTAAGTAAAGCTTTGAAATGAACTATGACCAATAATTGACAATTATTCTTTTAAAGTGAGATCAACGGCCTGAAATCCAATCTTTATCAATATTTTAAAAAAAAAACAGTTTTTAAAAAAATAAACCTTTTGAAATGATGATGTTGATGGTTTTATCATTATCCTTACTAATACATATTATTATGGTTGTTTTTATTATTTTATAATATTGCAATGTTACCATTGTTTTATGCTTTGATAATACAAGTGTGTAAGTTATCTCCTAATTTTTTTTTATTGCAATTATTCTATTTTGTAGAAGATATAAAATTTAAAGGAGGAGACACCAAAAGCTACCATTCCAACATGACTGAGATCAAATTTACTCCCAAGAAAGACTTTAATGGCAATGTAAAAATTAGCATGGAACCCTTTCTGGCCTCTCCAAAGAAGTCCTCTTTGGCTCTTTCTCGCTTTTTCTCCCACAAAGTTACAGAAGCTTTGCATATGACGAATGATTTGAAGGTGGGTGAGGCATGATTTGTCTGGAGTAGAGAGGGAATAAACTCTTCCACTTTGTTAGCGCTAGTAGTGTAAAAATCCACATTCGTTTGCTTTTTGACAGGGAGATTTACAGGGTTTGGGAAAGAAGGCACTTTTCAAGCTCATTAAAGACAATTCAAAGCCATCTTCTGAAAGCATCCTCACAGCTATTAAGAATTTAAATGGTATAACTTTGAATTCCTCTGCTGAACAAGCCGTTTCTGCTCATGTCAATCAGATCATCAATTCAGGTAAGTTAACCCTTTACATCCTAACATCAGTATGCATATTCTCCTTACTGTTCTCTATACATTTTCTAAGTTGCTGACTAGGAGAATTTTTTAACAATCAAGAGCCTCTTTAGTTAGTGATCATTTCCTTTATTCTTGTGACCATATTGTTTGGTTCTGGGCTTATGCTGCGAAGGGAGTTAGATGCTTGTCCCTCTGGGTTAATCAAAACTGTTTTTCTTGATTCCATTGGCTATTTGGAGCCAAATCCTGATATTCACCGGGGACAACGTTACTCATTTTTTAAGTTATGGATTCACTGTTTAAGAATAAATGGGGTATTCTATTTGCTTTGGAAAAAGGTGTGAAATCCTCACTTGACTTTGCTTTGCTTTCACAGCTAAGGGCCCAGATGGGGACTCCTTTTCACATGTAAGTACACTCAGAATGCGATGATCACTTGATTTGTAAGTCACAGTAAGTTTCCTTTGTTGACGTCCTGTTACCCCCTTTAACTCCAAGATTCCAATTGGTAATTCTCCCTTCTAGCTGCTACACATTTCCTTGTAAATTAGTCAGGAGAATTCGGTGTTACATCAAAATTACAACTTCTACCTGACGAGGTTGAGTATTCTCATTGCCTGTCTGCCTGATATTGTATGGATATTACACGGAGAAGTTACGTCTGATCACTTCTGGGAGTTAAGGGTCAATGGAATCTTACAATTACAATGTTGTTGAGAATTTATCGCCACCTATAGCAGTTACAACCAATTACAAATTGATTGAGTTAGTGATGTAAGAATTTGGATTTGCCTGTAAATTATTTCTATTGTTAGAATTTTAATAGACGGCGCTTTTTATTCTACTTCTACCAGATTTCAGCTGATAAGATCATCGAGGTTGATCAAAGTGGAGAAGTTCTGTTTTATGGTAATTTGACTGTGATTACCATAACTGTAACATCAGTGAATGACCCACCGGTATTAAAGAAAACCAGGGGAGAACTGGAGCCGCTTCCGTACGAGCTGTCTGCAGGATGGAATGCTGGCACCTTTATCAAAGATATATTTGACCAGTCCAAAACGGACCCCCTTGCGGAAGACATTGACAACAGAACAATGGAGCTTGGAGCTGTCATTCTGTCTGCAAAAAATGGCTCTCTTGGACGCTGGCTGTACCAAATGAATAGCTCGGTGGCCTTTGAGTACTTTGCATTTGACAAAGATGCAGGGGAGGTGTTTCTTCTACCACCAACTGCCAGGTACATGAATACCTCCAACATGGAATTAAATTTAAGTGGTTCAATGAGATCCAGGCAAAGCAAAAGTCAAGATAATGCCGACCAGTAGTCTCCTAGGGCTTTAGGGGTGAAGTATTTTTACAGTGCTATGTTTGGTGTCAAGCTGTCTTCGCTCATTTTGTCTGTCTCATGCACTGCTGAGTGTCTTTCCCTAACACTGGCGCCTGGTTATCTCAGTTGTAGAGCGCCGGACTACTGTGCGGGAGGTGGAGGGTTTAAGCCTCAGACCGGACTTACACTCAAGGCCTTAAAATAACTAAGGGTAGGGTGTGCTGCCTTTGCTATGACATTCGCAAATGGTTGAACATTCTATTCTTCTCGGATAAGGGCGATAAACGTTAGGCCTCGTTCCGTGCTGATTACATGTAGCTACCGGTCTTGTTTTCTGATCTTGATTCCGAAAATGGGGACGTGTGCAAACATTTCCTTCAAAAATTGTGAACTGCTCAATGCAGTCTGGCCAAAGTCTCCTGCATAGTGTTGTAAAGCGCCATGAGCTAATGGATATGGCGCTGTAGAGATCTTTCAAAACACTAAAATTACTCAATTTGCAGATAACCAATTACATAGTGATCTGAACCTTAACCTGAAGATGGCGTGACTTTGTATTTCTCTGTGTGTTGTGCTTACTCCCGTTTTACTTGACTTTGATATTTTAGGATTAAGATGGAACTATACGACAACCAAACCATTTGGAGCAGTTCAGAAGCGTTGAAAGGAGGAGCAGTGATACAAGTCAGAGCGTGGGACATGACCGATGGAAATGTACCTGGTCTTTTTAATACAACAATTTTATCGGAGACATCTGTTAGCAAGAAATTGGTCAACCTTTTACTTCTACGGCGAGGTTGTGATAACAAGACAGACTTCGCTGCCAAGAAAGATCGATGCGGAGTGTGCAGAGGGGATGATGAGTGCGTTGCATGCGATGGTGTACCTAATTCGAATGCTACAATAAGTAAGTATGTTTTACTAATAATTATTGTATTGTCAGACGCTGGTTGGTTTCAGATACATGAACTGATTGTAACAGTTGCTGGCTTATGCGTCATTTTGACAAGGCAGCTTGCGGCATACTTACAGGACATAACTTTCCATCTACAAATTGAACGTTATTGCTCTCTTGATTTTTGTTCGAGAAGGTAGAAAACAATGTTTTGACAATTATACCGAAGGCTATGTAGAAGGTCATAAGAATTACTGGTAGTGTGTAACTAGCCTGAGGAAACCAGCAACTCTTTCCAACTCTCGAAGAGGTTAAAACGCAACCGGTACATCTTGTGTTCAAGAATTTTTAGGCAATTTGTTACTAAAATTGATTACAAGTTCGGTGTCTTAATTTAAGTTCGTTTTATTCCTAGCTTAAAACGCAAACGGTAAATCTTGTGTTCAAGAATTTTTAGGCAATTTGTTACTAACATCAATTACAAGTTGTCTTAATTTTGGTTTATTTTATTCCCAGATGAATGCGGAGAATGTGTTTTAGGCAATACCAAGAAGGCTGCAAATTACCTGGTTGACTGTGCAGGGCTGTGCGACTTAAGCATTCAGAATAATGATACTTGTGGCAAATGTATGTCTAAGGATGACATCAAAAACCTGAGAGATTGTACAGGATCATGTTTTGGAAAAGCAGACATCGACGAGTAAGTGTCAAGGATAAGCACATTTTGAGTTAACTGAGCTTGGCTATATCAAGTAACTTAGCCTTTCCAAGGGAGCACCAACTCATTGTGGATGAATGATTTGTGTCTCCACGACCCTCAGAGATAAGTCGATGGAAGTGTTGTACTTCTAAGTTAAGGCACCGGAGCTGAACAGGTCGAACGGTTAAGGCTCAGATGAATTATGATTCCATGGAGGGTGGGCTGGAGGCTGATATCGAATAGAAACAGAAGATCACAGCCTTAAATGCCTTTTGACAGACAGGCAGACAGATAGTAAGACAGATAGACAGACATGCAGACAGACAGATAGATAGATAGATAGATAGACAGATAGATAGATAGATAGATAGATAGATAGATAGATAGACAGACAGACAGACAGACAGACAGACAGATAGATAGATAGATAGATAGATAGACAGGTAGATAGATAGATAGATAGATAGATAGACAGATAGATAGATAGATAGACAGATAGATAGATAGATAGATAGATAGACAGATAGACAGATAGATAGATAGATAGATAGATAGACAGATAGATAGACAGATAGATAGACAGATAGATAGATAGACAGACTGGCAGACAGTCAGACAGACAGACATACTGAAAGACTGAAAGAAAGGTGGAGGTAAACCATGTCCTTAAGAACGGTTTCACTAATGAGCGTTTCTTGAGAAATTTGTATGGAAGACTCAAAGTGCTTTTGTTTCACTGTGTTGCAAGGTTGCCTTTTTTCGTTATTGTATAACTTTGGTTTACAGCAAGCAAACGTTGTGAAAGGATCGTAAAAACCTCCATATTAGTTCAGGCTTGCTATTTTAATAAAGGGATATTAACATTAAATTTATCCCTCTTGCGACTGCTACTCTTGCTAAATCAAAGTCCCCAACTAACCCTAAAAAAAGCTTTCAAAGCATTCAGTGTGAATTTCAAGGGTGTGCCCTCTGTTGTATTCTAGATGCGGCAACTGTACTGGGGGGGCTTCAGGCCTGGCAATCAACTTCCGCCAAGATTCCTGTAGTGTCTGTGGAGGAGACAACTCGAGCTGTGTTGATTGTCTCAGTGTACCCAACGGCGATGCTGAAACCGATGTATGTGGAAATTGCAAGAGTAAGAGTGATTCTACATTCAACACTGGCTGCCTAAAGTTTGGTTCCGTGGCTCCGGTTAGCGGACGAGCAGGATCTCAGGTTCAGATCACAGTTAAGGGGGCTGGTTTTAAGTCTTTGTCTCTCACCAGCTGTGAATTCAATCATACAGCTACGAGTCAAAAGTAAGAGCAACTCTTCGATTGTCCCTTTTTTCTTCAGAGTTGTTAGACTAACTCTTGATTAACACTCTTTTTTTGCTAATTATGCAACTTTTCTGTCAGTATTTTTCCATGAACATATTTTTATACGTTGACGGAAGTTAAAGTTCTCATTATGTCACACTTTTTTTTTTACATAAACTTTATTTAAGCTGATATGGAATTTGTTTTATTTTGCCCTTTTTCTACAAAAACTTGGCGAACTAAATGATAAAAGTCAGTACAATATATATATATGGATAGTCGGTCATTCGGATTTCAAAATTTAGTAAATGTTATTAAGGCTGCTAGATTTAAAGGAAAAAATCGAAAAGCATATAGTCAAAGTTTTAGCGCATGTGATGTCATGTCAACAATTTGCGTTTTGCATCACTCAGACTTCAAAATAATCGGTGTCCACAATCAACATACTTTTACATTATGCAGGGGGAAGCAATTTTCGGTTTTGACACCCTCATTTACTCGACTATTTAGAAAACCCTTTTGATAAGAATGCGATTACTGTTTGAAGCAACCTCTTACTGAGAGTCGAAAACAACCCGTTCAATTCATCTGCCTTAACTTTTACTTCACTGTGTTCTGTGATTGGTCTAGAAAACTCATTTCACCTCCTCGACCAATAATATTCCAACTTAAAACCAATCGCGATTTAGGACATATTCTTATGATTGCTTTGCGTCCTCGTTGGCTTCCCGTTTTCTAATTATGGTTTTTGGCACCCATCAAAAAGTGCTTCAACGTTCTATTAATAATAATAATATTATTATTCTAATTATCATAATTATTATTTTGATCATTTTCAGGTACGCTGCATCACGTAGCGACCATACTTCAAATAAAAATACACTGACCGTGACAGCACCGTCGACCTTGCCAACAGGCGTCTACACGGTCCTGTGCAGCTTCAGTGGCAACATTAAAATTGAAAGCGAGACCGCTGTGTTTACAGTGTACAACAGTTCAGTGATTTCTCTGTCAAGTATCTCCCCAAGCGAGACTGAAATTAGCGACTCTGGCGCCACGATTAACATGACAATTACTGGGACCAATTTTGTCGACACTGGCTATGTGGCTTGCGTTAGAGAGGGAGGTGCAAAGCTTGCGACTGGAGTTTTCGTGAGTTCCACAAAAGTTTATTGTCCAATTACCACTTTTAAAAAGTCTGCTCTTTTCAACGTCTCCTTGCAGTTTGGAAAGAATGACCCAGCAGTTGATTCCAGTGTCGAGTTTTCATTTTATGCCACCCAGCCGAGCGCAGCATCACTAGCTTTTGATAGTAATCCCACCAAACTGTTATTGTCCTTAGACAAGAAAGCAAAGCTTAAATCGGACAATCCTCAATGTTCTGACTTTTTCGATCAAGGAACGATAGCGTTATTCGCTGGTGACAGTAAGTGTAAATTGGTGAGACCCAAAACAATGCTGATTCTGTTGGTTGGTGGTGGAGCGACGATAAAACCAGGCGACTCAGTGAACTTTACAAATGGCAGTCTAGCTGCGCTGGGAGAAGCCAACACTAAGTTTGTCGCAGGTACAACGGAACTCACCGTTCAATCACCTCAAAACCCAGTCGTACCAGAAGTCGAAATTCAAGGGGCAGAATTTATCGGTGAGTTGTGCAGTTACTGCCTCTCCATGAGAATTGTTGTATTCCATTATGAGGTTTTTGTTCCTTTACCTTTCACTTACAGGAGTGACCAAAGTGAATTTCTCCTTACAGTAGGGATACATTTTCAAGAAGAAAGTTGATGAGAAGTTAGAAAATTTTAAGAAGGGGATGTTGTTTGAATTTAACGCCAATTTCTCAGGCCTGAAAGTGTAGGGAATACATAACAAAGAGTGTGTAGAGTTAATATTTATATTGTAGATCTGTGAATGGAAAGGTTTACGACATCCCTTACAAAAGCCAAGGTGAGAACCAGTCAGGAAACTAAAATTCCTCGAATTGAAAACACCAATACGTATCTTGTTATCTCTTAGGACCTTGTGCTAGCCTAGAAATTGATACGGATACAAAGGGCGATGGCGGCCGACCCATGACTTATGAATGGTATGTGAAATCCAAAGCCGGTGCAGATGCCAATACAACATCTGATATGACCTCTCTCAATTCAACTCTCGCCGGCTTAGCATCCACGACAAGCTTCTTCACCATTACAAAGGACAACATTGTCAAGAACGTTGAGTATGAAATTGTTTGCAAAGTTACGAACTTCCTTGGAGAGAGTGATGAAGACACTTTTTCGGTAACCCGCAAGAATGAAGCCGTCCCAGAGGTCAAGTTGAACTCACTGGGTGAAACAATGAGTAAATCGGAAAGACGTTTGATCCGTGGTATGTCTTTAACTCCTTAAATCCTAAGTATGACTACGGTATGATTTCTCCATACAGTGACACTGCTGAATAAAACACAAAAGTCTTGAGAATTAAGGAAGTGATCTTCAATTTAAGAAGCTCTTTATTGTTGAAGAAATTCTCCTCGTCAGTACCTCAGGATATGTAAAGAGAACAGTTAATAATATATATTTTATGGAGCCTGTTAGTTACCACCACCTTTTAAATAACTATAAGACTCTTTGTTCCGTTTATTTTTAAGTAATCCCTTGTCCGAGCTAGAAAGGGAGTATTGAAGCAAGGAAACAAGCAAGTGAATGAGCTAGCAAGCAAACAAACTTTGTTACGTGAAACCATCTAAATTTGTGTATTGCATCTTTTTTCTCTCCAGCCTCAGTTAGCTTGCCAGGGTGTAATGGTTCCGACGCTGGCGGCTTCGCGTACACCTGGGAGTTGAAGGACTCAAGTGATCAGGCTGCTGATCTTGGTTCGGATACAGATGCCACCAAACCTTATCTGAAGCTCCTAGGAAGTAACTTAAAAGGTGGCGAGGTAACAATTCTATGCTTCAAGTGTCATGAAAAACTATTATATTTGCTGAAGTGTAAGAGTATACCAGTTTCGACGGTATTCCCAGATTATAATTGGGCGCTACTAGCAACTGGGCTACGAAGCCACACGCTGGGAGCGAGGCAAATTTTTAGAGGGTTCTTCTTTCCTGTAGAGCAATCTGATCGTGATTGTGAACTGTATGCTTCTAAACACAGAAGATTAATCCTTTAACTTGTCACAAACTCTTCCTTCAGTCGGGGACATGCTCTTTGGAGTTGAAGACCATCTTAAGCAATGGGCCACACTACTCTTCTCTGCCTAAGCAGAAACCGGATGATCTAATCAGATTAGCACTGAAGAAGCAGAAAGAATACTTAAAAGCACGGAGGGAGTAGCATTGTGCCTAGAAAAATTGTTAAGTAGTTGAAACACAAACAAAACAAAAACAAAACAAATCTAAAAGAATATGTTGAAACAGTGGCTTTATTCAATAGCTTAGCGGCAGGAAAGTTTCAGAACTTGTGGTTTTCTAAAGTTGTCGTGTTGTCTGTTTCTTTTGTAGAATTACACTCTGACAGTAAATGTATTCGATAACGAGAACATTGATATAACCGCTGAATCGTCTCTCCCCATTCAAGTGTCGTCGAGTGAATTGAAGGCGCGAATTGCTGGTATGATAAATGTAGCTTATTATTCAAGCCTGAGAGCCAAACCCGGCTGTGTGTGTGCGTGTGCGTGTGCGTGTGCGTGTGCGTGTGCGTGTGCGTGTGCGTGTGTGTGTGGAGGATTTGGTTGAGCTCTGTAATATTCTTATGATCTTCTCTCTCACTGGCAAATAATTGACAGTTAATTTGTATAGGCCCCTCCCCCCTTCGTATTCTGTTGGCGACGGCTGATTCCCTCTTAGTTTTCCTTACAAAGATGCGATTTCCCCTGAAAAAAATCCTCCATGTGGATTCCATGTTGCCGTAGGTCAGTACGGTGATATGACAGAAGAAGGCAAAAAGTGATAAGAACATCAGTGAGTCACTCAGCTGCGCCTTGTGCGCCACTTTTTTGTTCTTACCACATTTTAATGTCAACTCTGATCTATTACTGAATAGACGCACAGCAACATGAAATATTTTTGTCAAAAAGACGCACAGCATCGATTTGCTTTGAACAGTGAACTGAAAAAATGAAATGGCTCACCTACGAAGTTGTCCCTCTCTACTGTTTGTTTCTGTTTCCGCTTATTTTGTGGCGACCGTCACCGCATGTTTGAGTGCTCATGATGCATTTATGATGTCGTCAGGTGGTGTGTCTTTCGACGTGGGTTATGAAGATTTCTTAGTGCTGGATGGTAAAAAATCAGAAGACCCAGATGGATCCAGCGATGAAGCTAGGTATCAATGGACATGTAAAGATTCTGAAGGCGACTGCTTCTACAACAACGACCGTGTTATTTTGCCCAAGACTGATGTTGTTAATAAGAGTGTGTCATCATTTCTGCAATCTGGAAAAACGTGAGTTGTGGTTTTTGGTTGAAACTTACCTACCATTTCAGATTTTACAAGTCACTTACTAACTGGCATTTTTCCAGGGCCTCAAGCAGCTTGATATTACTTCAAGCTCCCATTGGCTCGGTGTGATTTTTCTCTGTTGTGATTGGCTGTTTTGATTACCTTAGTTTTGGTTTTATGACGCTCAAATCGAAACGCCGCGCTCTCTATTAACTTAAGATTCATCATTTATTTGCTGGAAAATGACATTAAGATGGTAATTAAAATGTATATTTTCGCTGATATTTGTTATTAAACATTGTAAACTTACAGGTATACTTTTAAGTTGACATATCGTAAAGGTGCCCGAAAAGCAGTAGCCGAAGTCTCGGTTCGAGTGAAGCAGTGCTCCCCACCAAACGTGATTATTCGACCTCAGAAGTCAAACAAGTTGAATGCTGGAAAAAAAATAGAAGTTCACGGAAAAGTTAAGGCTTTTGGTAACAAAGTGTCGTTGGACTATTCCTTTGTGCTCGAAGACGGTAAGTTTACTATCGTTTATTCCTTTAAATTCTTGAACGCGTGATCCTCTCAATATTGGCTGACGAGATTTGTGATGAGAAGTATGATGGTTTTGATCGTTCAAAAGTAGTCAAGACACCAGTGCTTAGTGGCTCAGCCGCTCCAGAAAGTCCAGGAGCGTGAACTACATTGAGATGTTTTTCAGCTGATGAAGACACAATTGTGATGTCTCTCTTAACCACTGTAATGTAGCCTGTATAGGTGGTGCTTGGGCGATCGATGAAGGCAAATGGGCCAAGTTTGGAAAACAAGAATGACAGAATTTTTCTCTTCCTATGCCTAATCGTTTCTTTTCCGCTAAAAACCCAAAGAAACAACCTTCTAGTTAAACCAGTCGAGATTCTTTAGTGTGTTTAGTAATCTCACAGAATTTCCTGGGAACAATTCCCGGTATTTTGTTTTCGATAGGGTATGGGTATGAGAGCGACGTCTCAGACCTTGTGTCAGTAACTCCTAAACCAGAACTCAGGAGTGCCACTACTCGACTGGAACAGGATATTGGAGTGTATTTCAAAAAGAATGTCTTTGACTCTGGGAAGTACAGGTTCCGAGTGTCGGCCAACACAACTGCTTGCAGTTCGTATTCAGAAACAGAGTTCACTGTAAATGGTCCGCCACTAGTAGGTGGGTACAGTCACAATTAATCCGTCTCAAAACAAAAAAATAATTGAGAGTGTCTTATGAAACGCTAGTTTCGAAATTGAGTTTTGATATCATCTGTGCAATGTAACTGTAATTATAAAATCCGTAATTGTTATGTAAGAAGTTTTGTTGGTAATGTTATTATTTGTTAGTAGATATCGTATCATAGGTAGTGTTTATATTGTATTATATGCATCTGTAGTTTGTAAGTAATTACATTTAATTACAAACACTTACAATGTATTGTTAGTAATTTAAGTGTAGTGCAAAATAGGGTTTAAAAAAATTTTTTTTTTGACATCATCTCTATGACTTTCATAAGAGTACCGTCAATGCCGAATTGGCGTCGATTGCCATAAAATGAGATGTGGACTGTCTATGTTATGTTCTGTGTCAGGTACTTTTGAAGTGACCCCTGCAAGTGGAACAGTCTTGGATACGGAGTTCACTTTAAGAGCAGATCAGTTCAGTGACGATCCAGACGACTATCCCCTGACCTACCAGTTCGGGTATTATGAACTTATTAACGGGGAGGAATTTGCTTCCGTCATAAGTTTACCAAATCGTCGAAAGAAGAGAAAGGTTACCCTTCCACAAGGTTTGTGATACGAGAGAGTGCCCGGGCAAGTAAATATCTCAGCCACATTGACAACTTTTTAAGTATTCACTTTAACAGGGGTATTTAAGTAACTTTTTGTGCGCGTTTTTAGGAAGCTATTATCTCTACTCCCACGGGCAGTCCACGGGCATTTGACCGTCGTCCATGCCCCGGGGGGTGGAGAATTTGAACACTGTCTGGCTGGGGTAAAGAATTTGAACTGGAAAAGCCTTCATGATTTCGTCTTTTCAGCGGAATCCAAGTGCTATATCTTTAATTATGGAGATGTTTAAAAGTAAAGAGTTCACTTTCGCGTGCAAATGGCTCGGACAAAAAAGTCTGCAAGGTGTAGTTTCCAAAGCTTGGTAAATGAATAGGAAGTCACAGTTGCTGATTTTGTCTTAATGTTTTGCCAAAAAATTGACCATCAAAACCGGCACTTGGGCAGGGCATTTGAACACAATTTTTGCCCCAGGGGGCGGAATTTGAACAAACCAATCATCAAAAGTTCAAATGCCCGGGGGTTGCCCGGGGGATGTTTATGCTTCGAATTGATCGGTGCATCACTTGTTGAAAGTAGTAACTGAAGGTTCCTTACATTACATACGTCATATTTAGGGCTGATCTTTTGATTAAAGAAAAATTTTTCAAGTAAGAGCTTGATTTACCTTTTCTTGTTTAGAACAGTTTGTCTTAGTATTCTGTCACTGTAAACCTTGGGTACTAATAAAGAGGATACAGGAAGGAGTCATCGTTATGTTTAAATCTGTTTTGGATTACAGGCGACGAGAACAACAACAATACCCTCCGAGTGTTTGTACGGGTTTTTGACAAATTTGGAGCCAGTGTGATGACCGAGAAGACTGTTCAGGTTTTGCCTAAAGTGTTTTCACTAAGCGATCTTCAAGATTTGCAGAACTCTGCAACGAGTCTAGAGGAAAGCGGAGACTTGGAGAATCAATTAGGTGAGATTTTTGTGATGCTTTTAAGTGACTTCGTTTCTGTTTCTTGTCGCCGAGCAAAAAGAGAGAGGACTGGGAGAAGAGAATAAAGAGATAAGAAAAATTAAAAAGAAAGGAAAGGAAAGGAGAGGGGAGGGGAGGGGAGTGGGAAAGGGCAGATGAACCAAGGAGGACAGGAGAGGGGAGGGAAAAAAAAGGAGAGAGGAGTGGGAAAGAGAAGAGGAGTAGTTCAGATAAGGTTAGGACAGGACAGTAGGAAAGGGAAAAGGAGAGTGGAACGGGGTTGGACAGGAGTGGGGAGAGAAAGGA